GCCTCTATTTCTGCTTCTCCCCGCGACGAAATCGGCCGGGCAATGGTTGAACAACTTCGGGCGTTCAATCTCCAAGAACAAGAGAGGATGAAGCTTAAAGAGAAGGAGTTGAAGCTAAAGGAGCAGGAGGCCGAGATGAAAGTCATGCAAACCGACCCCGCGACGTTGTCGGAGTTTGGACGAATTATCTACGAGCAAAGAATGAGAGAGATCAAGGAGAAATATAATTTTCCTTAGTTTTTTTATTAATGTATCTTTTTTTTTAAATTATTGTCGCTTTTTTTTATTTAATTAATGTGTTTTTTATTATTCGTGTTTCAATTTAATTAAATAAAAAATTAATTACATTTTATTAATTTAATTTTAGAAGATGTATATTTAAAAATGTAAAAAATGAAGGTTTGAAGCCCAGTTTTGAAGCCCCGGGGCTTCAAACCCATTTCTAGTGAATTTTGGGTGTAAGTTAAAGCTGACGTGGCAGAAAGAGAAAGTTTGAAGCCCCGGGGCTTCAAACGTATTACCAGTGCTCTTATCTGATGTCCTCTACCTACCCACCCCACCACAGCACCTCTGCCCCCTCTCCCGGCCCCCAAGTTTACTTCTCCCGTTCTATAAAATAGTTTCTCTTTCATTTTTTTCTTTCACCAAAATATTTTCACTTTTTATTAGAAAAATTATTTTTACCCTTATTTTTTCATACAATATCTATCACTTCGTATTTTTCTCTAATAATCTATCTATTACTCCCTCCGTCCCCCTGTATTTGTCCACTTTCATTTTTACACACCATCCAATGCACTTCTTTAATCCATTTTATCTTGTAATTTGTATATTAAAAAATTATAAAAATTATATATTACTAATCTATATGTTAAGACAAATCAAACAAGATCACACATGACTATATTTAGGCTTACACATTGAGAGAATTTGATGAGTCAAAATGCTTAGATGAACAGTTCCAAAAGTCTAATGTGGACAAATACAGGGGGACGGAGGGAGTACATCTTACTTTTATCCATCACATCAAAGGCAAATTGAAAATCATCTATAATTTAGTACTTCCTTATTTTTATACTTGATCAAAATTGAAAGTCTATTTAAAAATAAATAAGTATTTTTTTAATCTTACAGAGGAAATCATATAAATTAATCTAAAAATAATTTGAGGGGAATAATATTTTTAAGTTGAACGGAGTATGGTGTGGGTGCGTTTATTTATATTTTTGTCATTCTAGAAGCTGTATGGACTCTGCGTGACCAAACTTAACCCCCCCCCCCACTTTCTTTCTTTGATGGCGGAGGTGGACCCCGCAGTTTGTCGGCTTGTCGTTTGGAATGGGAATACCCCTTTTGTCCTCACTAGGGCCGTTACTGCATACGGCCCGTTTGGAAAATGGGCCAGACTCCCCTTACTCCCCCATTGTTGGGTCCATTTATAGCAATCATAGCCCTTCACGTGACAGGCGATCAGCGCGCAGTGGCGCAGGCAACCTCTGCCACAAAACTTCAACCTCATTACTCCTCTCTCTCTCTCCACCCTTTAATACGGGTACTCTTTTCCTTTCAAACCCAAAATAAAGTCACAAATCTGGGATAGAAAATAGGATTAAGGTATCTGTACCCCAACATTTGTATCTTAATTTGTACTCCGCAGGTTTGCACCAACATTTTGTGTTGGTGTAAAACCAATTTTTTTTACCGCACCAACATTTGTGTCCGTGTAAATTTTTATTAACGCACCAACACTTGTGTCGGTGTAAACCATCAAAATGTTTGTGCAAAACTGTGGTGTACAAGTGGTGTACATCTTTTGGTGTAAGTGTAGCATGCTCCTAGAAAAATAACCACTCTAATTAAAAGGTTGGAGTTAGATACTTAGATGTTGGAAAAAAATTTGAATAAAAATGGGAAAAATGAAAACGTGGGTATGTTTGGAAACATGAATTTGGATTTCAAATTTGAATTTAGTTCAAATTCCATGTTTGGAAAACTTAAAAATTTTGAATTTATATTCCAGTCAAATTCTTCTCATTCATAACAAAGCTTAATTTGAAATTCATGCCCCTCTCCTTGTCATTTGAAATTCAAGATTTCAAATTTTAGAATTGAAATGCATGAATTCAAATGAAATGCTAGTTGCAAAATACTACTCCCTCCGTCCCACACTATTCGTCTACTTTTGACTTTTGGAACTGTTCATCTAAGCACTTTGACTCATCAAATTCTCTCAATGTGTAAGCCTAAATATAGTCATGTGTGATCTTGTTTGATTTGTCTTAACATATAGATTATTAACATATAATTTTTATAATTTTTTAATATACAAATTACAAGATAAAATGGATTAAAGAAGTGTATTGGATAGTGTGTAAAAATGAAAGTGGACAAATACAAGTAGTTGCTTACGTTAGGGAGGAAAGAGAAAAATAGAGATAGTATTTGCACCCTTTCACCACTCGAGTGGTGTTGAGCTATGAGCGATGATACCATTGGAGTGCAGAGTAGGAGAAGAGGGAGGGAGGAGGGGCCTGGCGCGCGGAGGGGACCGGTTGGAGAAAATGATGATGGCCCCTGAGGCGCACAAACCAGACAGGTGGGCCCTCCACCTCATCTTGTCTTCTCCCCCCCCACCCCCCCCACCTACTTTCCTCCATCATCATCATCATCATCATCTTCGTC